ATCATAATTCATGATACGTCTTCCATATCTACAACAATACGAAATATTATTCAACAAAATATTCTTTTAAAACATTCATTGTTAATCATTGTATTCGCTTGGCCACTTGATTTGCCAACATTTAACCATGATGATATAACAAATCATCTTAATTTTCAAGCTCAAGAAGATATAGGATGTGGAATACTTATGCACATTATACAATCAATCTATGAAACAAAATTTTATAGTTATCCGAATATATTTGTTTTGACACAAAATTCTCAACTGCCTGTTAACAGAAACAATCGACAAAATTTTAATATAACTCAATCACCAATAATTGGTTTTGCAAGATCTCTTATTAACGAATATACAATGAATCGTATGAAATTAATTGATATACAAAGTTCTAATTTATCAGTGAATCTTTTCAATTCTTTAATCAACGAAATGTATTCTACTATATATAGTTCATCGAATAGTTTCCATGATGAAGAAGTTATATTAAGTTCATCTGAGAATATCAATATTATTCAGAGATATTTACCAATGTATGCAATGATTCAACCATCAAAATATTCAAAGTTAAATAATGTGAAAACAACAATTATTCCAAAGTATGATGCTGATCGTATTAATTTTCAATTGCAAGTACCAACATCTCGACTTATATCTGATCTTAAATGGACTTGTAGTAATAATGATACAAATACAACTATGCTTACATCGACACAAGTTGAAATTCGAGTTCATTGTATTGGTATCAGTTTTAGAGATATGTTAAAAGTACGTGGTTTATATCCTTATACACGAGAAATTGGAATTGAATATGATGATAATGATAAAACAATCGGTATGGATTTTTCTGGTATTATTGTTCGTAAAGGTACTGAAGTAAATCTAAATCTAAATAATCGAGTATTTGGTATGATAACAACTAACGGAGCTTTTAAATCACATATTATACTAGATCAAAATGATATTGTTGAAGCACCATCAAACTTTACAATGGAACAATTATGTACATTACCAACATTTATAACTGCCATATATTGTCTTCGAGATTGTGTTCAATTACATGCTGGACAAACAATATTGATTCATGCTGCAGCAGGTGCAACTGGACTAGCATTCATTCAATATTGTCACATGATTGGTGTTAATATTATTGCAACTGCTGGTACAAAAGAAAAGCGAAGATTTTTACGAGAAAAATATCAAATTCAACATGTATTTAATAGTAGAAATTTATCATTTGTTACAAAAATACGTCAAATAGCACCAAATGGAGTTGTTGATGTTATAGTTAATTCACTTTCTGGTACTTTTATACATGAATCATTGAAATTACTTGCACCACTTGGTCACTTTATTGAACTTGGCAAACGTGATATTTATGCAAATTCAAAATTATCATTATTTTCATTAAGAACAGGTTGCAATTTTCACGTTATTGATTTAGTTACACTTCAAAAATATTGTCCACAAAAAATTCAAGCTTTATTACAAGATATTTCAATTTTATGTAAGAATGAAAGATTAAAACCAATTGTACCGATGAAAGAGTTTGAACCATCAGAAATACAACAAGCTTTTTCCATTTATTCTCAAGCAACCCATATTGGAAAATTTGTAGTAAGAATTACGGAATCTGATAAGCCATTACAAATTGAAAATGATGAATCTGTAGAACAATTACAACAGCAACGACAAGGTTTGTTTGTTTTAATCATAGAATTTCTTCTCTATTAGGAAAGTTCCGATCCGTTCATTTTGACTCTGAATTTCATATGATATTTGAGAATTTCTACGTTCTGGATTGCTATGCAACAGGAATTTATCAGACAGAGAAATCATTATGATTTGTAATCATTGAGAGCTAGCCGTAGAAAAAATTAATTTGACTGAAAACATACTTATCTTTCATATAGAAAAATCAACTTTTTTTTTTCGTTTGATCTTCAACAAGTATCAAGAACTTTCTGTAATTCTGCATAACTGTTAGCTAAACTGTAATTTTATTCAATCATCAAATAAATCGTGATGTAATTTTTATTTTGTTTTCTCAATTTTAATTTTTTTTTTCAGTTAATATGTTTTCGAATTTGGTTTGTAATCATGGAACAATCGTAATCAGTGGAGGCTTGGGTGGTCTTGGTATTGAAATGTCCAAATGGATGATAAAAGAACGTGGTGTTAAAAGAATAGTTCTATTATCAAGAAGAGACATTGAAGAATTGGATCATGACAGTTTACAATTTAATGATTGGATGAATCTTATACAAGTTGCCAAACAATATAATGCATCTGTAATAGGAATGAAAGCAGATGTAAGAGAATTATCCCAAGTAGTAGAAGTTCTTCGTCGTATAAATGAAAATAAGGATTATCCTGTCCGTGGTATCATACATAGTGCAATGGTTTTACATGATGGTTTATTAAAACATATGACACAAGAAATATTATCTAAAGTCATGCAACCCAAAATTCGTGGCGCGTGGAATCTTCATCGTGCAACAGAAATACTATCATGTCCAATTAGTTTCTTTATAATGTTTTCATCGCTTCGAAATCATATTGCCGATTTAGGACAATCGAATTATAATGCTGGAAATAACTTTCTTGATGCTCTTGCTTATTGGAGGTTGAATTGTAGAAATCTACCAGCACTTTCTGTTAGTTTGCCAGCAATTTCTGGAGCTGGTTATCTTCATAATAATGCAGAATCTATTGTCAAATTAATGCAAGAACAAGGAATACTTTTGATGCCAGCAATTTATGTTTTCAAAATGATTGAAAAATTACATTACATTCAACAGCAACAACAAGTAACAGAAACAGTTAATCTTTCTGCTCCTGTTATGTTTGTTGTTGATTGGAAAATGTTATTGTCTATGAATTTACCGTCAAGATTGGTAAATATTGCAAATGAATATATAAATACGAAAGAAAAACAAGAAACACCAATTTCATCTAATAATGATGACCAATCAACATTAGATATTGATAAAATAACAAGCAAAATTCGTCTTCAAGTTTCAAAACTATTTGGTTCTTTAAATGTAGATCGTATCATTTCAAATAGACCACTTATACATCAAGGTATGGATTCATTAATTGCTGTTGAACTTCGTAGTTGGTTATCAAAAGAAATGTCTGTTAATATTCCTATTGTTGAATTATTACAAGGCAAGTCAATTGATGATCTTGTTTTATATACTCGAAATAAATTACTTAATAGACAAGTAAATACCGATACTGCATCTTATTCTAACAATACTCGTGCAATATCAAGTACTAAAACTGATTATACTAATACAAGTGAAAATTCCTTATTAAATATTGAAAAGAAAGACATAGTAGAATCACAAATTTGTTACACAGGCACTTCACTTATTTCTCCACTTCATTATCCTGCATTCAAACCTCCATTATTTTGCATTCACGATATTATTGGTCTTTCTCAAACGTTTATTCGATTCGCAATCCAAATCAAAGAAACTTATCAAACGGAATCACCATCAGTATTTGCTTTTCGTGCAAGTGGCTATGAATCTGGTGAACCATTTTTTCAATCAATTGAAATTATTGCTGAAGAATATATATTTCAAATGAAAAGAATACAACCAACTGGACCGTATAATTTACTTGGATATTCATTTGGAGGACTTGTTGCCTATGAAATGGTTCGTCAGTTATATAAAAAACATGGAGCAATAGTTCGATCGTTGATATTAATTGATCCTCCAATACCAATTCAAACAAATGTTGTCATACCACAAGACATTGATAAAAACCAATTTTGGTCAATGAAAACATTCGGTTTTATTTATAGTTACTTGATGAAGGACAAAACTTTTAACAATTCAATTGATCATGTGCTAAACTCATCATTATCAGAGCAAGAGTCAACTCAAATTCTACACAATATAATGCAAACAGTATTACCAACACTCAAAGAACGATTTCGTATATCAAAAAAGACTGACGAAGAGTCTTTAGAAAATCAGAAAGATTTAATGGCAAAAACAATATTCGAAGTTATTAAAGCACAAACTATAGCCAAAGAAAATTATACATATGATTCAGCAACGAATTCAATTGAAAGTGTAAGACCAAATAATGCAATCATGTTTACCTTGAAACAGAACAATCAAACACTTTCAAACGAAACGAAGCATCGAGTTTGGAAAACATTATTGCCTGATTTAAAAATTGAACAAGTGTATAGTACCCATGATACACTATTAGAACCACCAACTGTCAATGTGATTGTTGATCAATTAAAAGAAATGAATATTTTATGAAATGTAAGTCATTATATATGATATACAGAATAATTCAAAAAGAACTTTACTAGGAAAAAATTTGAGTATCTTCATTATATTTTAATCAAATTGGCTAATCTTTCTGTCACTGATAGATAAGAGATTTTTGTTCATAAGAAAATCGTTCTAAAGTACTGGTTTCAGGAGTTATCAGTACTGTTTAATTTTCCAAAAAAAAAAGTAAAATTCAGAGATGTATATTTCAAAATTTCCGCAATCCCGTCATTTTTATTATTTCTGAAATTCCAGAAATTCCAGCGATTTTATGTGATTTTCCCTTTTGGAAATCTGAACTCGTGTTTCACATTTTAATTTTGTAGAGATTGCGTTGTAAACTTTTTTTCTAATGAGCTAACTTTTGGAAAACCTTGTATTATTCTTCAGAAGTATATTACATTGGTAGATAAGTTCTGCACGTTGTTTTTGTTTTTTAGGCAAATTTGAGGCTTTATATTTCGAGCTGTTTCCAGTCACGAGATGTAAAGCTTCAAATTTGCCTAAAAAGCAAAAAAAAACGTGCAGAACTTATCTACTAATGGAATAGAGTGTCTGCATGTGACATGGTATCTTAATTCGTATTTTTATTTATTCTTGTTGTCTTTAGATTTGACGTCATTCAAAGAAAGTGGAACAATATACGGTTTTTAGATGTTCTCTTTTTTTTTACAATTCTTTCTATTGAGTTCTCAAGATGTTTTTTATTTTTATTTTGAAATAAATCAAGTTTAAATATCAACTTTTATTGGATGATATACTATTTTTGAGCAGAAACTATTGTTTACGAGAAATTGATCCTCCTATCATAGTGCACAAATGCAATCATCGTTACTAGCTGTCTGCTAACAGATGATCGAAAATTTTTTGGATAAAATGTTGAAAGCTGAAACATATTTATAACAGTTATCGAAATAAAATTTTTTTATTAGTCAGATAGCTTATCCTATCTTCTATCTGCATTATTCATTAGAGATTTTTTTAATTAATCCATTATTGTGAAAGTGACTGATATTTTAAATATAATATTTGAGACAGATGATATAATATGAAAGATAATAATAATTTATTGCAAATCAAAAAAAGTATTTTATACAATCGATAATTTCTTTTATTATGTAGAATTTTCGATCATTTCTCTATTGGAAACGCTGTCATAATCGGTCATCTTCTGTACGATAGTGGATTTTGAAATAGAAATTGATAAATATGAATAACTATCACATTTGAAAGTCAAGAGTTTAATCCAATGAGTTAATCGAATAAATGTAATATTTAAGATAGATGATAATAAAGAAAACATTAAATTTATTAAAGCATAAATGATAACGAAATAATAATAAATGTATTAATATAATAGGGTGTGGATGTGGGTATAAGTGAGTGTGACTTTTGATTTTCTCTATACTCACTCACACACAGCGATCATAAACGATCATGGTAAGAGCAGCCACTTTTTGCCGTTTTCGAGTCCTTTACGACCATTTATGGGCCGTTATATATGACATGGGAATCGATCAATCGAATAAAACTAAGTGAAAAAACAAGAAAGAGAAGAAATTGTTCGATTCAGAATTGAAATTGAACTTCTTAGTTGATCAGATGAGATTTATTCATCTGAATGTCATTCAAATAGTAGATAGGTCACTATCAATTGAAGAGCAATCATTTTCCAAGCTTCATTGAATTGTTTGAAAGAGAAAAGATTGTCTTTGACTTTGTCAAATTGTCGCATAAATCATCATCGAGAAGAGGAACAGTGGAAGATATTTGTCGAAATGATCAATTCATTTCCTTTTCTTTACGACAATAATTTAGATTGACTGTGAACAGTTGTCTCATATGGCTCTTCAATCAGATGATCATCGTGTAAAACTGATCCATCTCCTCTTCGACCTTTTCTTTTCTCTTGGAAAATTTGATGTGAGCATCTCAGACAAATGATCAGTTCGAAAGAAAAAAAATCAATATCGATGTTCAATCGGAATGAAATCTCTCTTGTTCTTGTTCAATTCGAAGAGAGAATTTCATTTTGAAAACAATTCTTTAACAATCGATTGATAACGGATGAGCAGAAATGTCAAATCCATTGTGGATATATTGAAATATTTTTTCATTGAAATCGTTCATTGATTGATGAATTGATCTGTTGACAGATTCATTTTCGATAATTTATTTGAGAAGATCTTGTGAGAAAGATCGATTTGATCTCTTCAATTGAATATCTGTATGGAGAGAATCGTCGAAATGGATTGGATGTATTCCCAGACTACTTCGTCAAGAGAACTCTTCTCACTTGCCAAATATTAGATAGGTCATTCTTCTTTCAATCGCTGTTGATCTATTCAGAACAAAAAGACGAAGAAGGATTCGATTCGAAGATAGTCAAATGAGTAACGAAATTTCTTTCGAATCGTTTCTCTTCTGCAATCAAAGTTGATCTTTGTTAATTTTCCAAGAAAAGACTCGTGATCGTTGAATGAACTACAAAGCGTTTGTTTGTTAAGTGTCTCATGTCAGAAAAAGAGAAAATCGGCATTGAACGGTAAAATAAGATCAATTGAATGAAGTTACATTGAATCAGTCAAAAATCATCTTGTTCGAAATTATGTGAAATTGAGAGTTCAATCAAATCTATTTCATTGTGACAGATTCTGACTCGAAAATCATTCGATTTGGATCATCCTCTAACAAATCGAACTCAAATAGTTCGTTCGTCTGTCAAAAGGAATTCACTCTCTCATTGGATTCGCTCTATTCCATGATCATGTCTCCGTCGAACGTGGATAGTCAAGAGAGGGAGAGTGGAAAACTCCGTTCAACACCTCTCTTTTACGTTCAATTCAATATCAAATAATGAATGAGGCTTGTTTTCATGAGATCGATCGTCATGATTGACTAATCGAACAAATCGAAGAGAAAAATCAACCAGTGACGACAAGATCAATTTCAAAGCGAAATCAATCGTAGAGGAGTCAGTCGATAAGGAATACTCAAATATTCATCAAAGATTTCTCATTGTAAGCAACAGTTGACATAAATGCCGAAGGTGAAAGATTTTGAAAAGAGAATATCTCTTCAAAACAAGTTTCAATCGTAAAAGAGCGAAGATAACTGAATAGAACAAGTGGCGAGTGAACAAGGACTGAAGTTCTACTAGAGTATCATCTCTTTACTCCGATCATAGGAACGAAGATGGACGAGGGTATGGGCATCTGTATAAGCTTTCCTTTTTTTCTCAAATTACACTCACACCCACTTTCTTATGTCAGTTCCACAGTTCAGCTTCAAAGGGGCTGCGCTAGCAAGTTTTTTTTCTTTCAGGTTATCTAATTAAATGTATGCTTGGTTCTTTTTAAAAGTAATAGTTTGTAAATGACATCTTATTTTTCAATGGAATAAAATTTTGAACTATTAAAAAAATATATGAGAGAACGTTTATCATATTCATTATGAAACACATATTAAAATAAGCGATCATATTTAAAAAATAAGATGTCATTTACAAACTAT